TTCGCCCCTACCGCCGGGCGTGTCTAATCCGTACTTCAAATTTTACGATTCCGTACTTCAAATGCGTCAAACGTTTGTCCGGGCAATGATCCAATTACTCGTCGGACAATTAATTCGTTTCAAAAGGAAAATGTATCGCGTCATGCTTTAGTAAAGGGAGTCGGAGTTGCGGAGTTTATTGAGCGTTCTTATTTAGTTCTGGTTCCTCATCCACTTACCTTAACACTAAGTTGTATTTTAAATATCGTAAAGATCAATACACCACATCCATTTTCATTCACCCTCTAATCCAAAATGTCGACAAACATTACTGACCGTGCTTGCGCTGCCCTTGATCGTGCTCTTGAAGGAAGTACTCCCGATACTACTAGAGAAATCCACCAAGAGACTCAAGTGTCCACTGTTAAGTCGTACCATGTAGGCTACAACGACGATACAGAAACACATGAAGACGATCAAAATCATGACGGTGACAAAATTTGTGATGGAGAAGGAAGCGTGTTTGTGAATTTGACCACCCAAAGGCAACGAAGTGGAATACCACTCTGACTTTAATGAGTGTTTAACCCATTATGCCGTCATCTACAAGTGTACAAGTCCGTCAGAGACAACACCAAACGATTAGATAGCTGAGTCACCAACAGTATCTTCCTGAGCAGCAAAAACAGCTCATCTAGGTCCCACAATATTACCAGCCGTACACATACCAGCAGCAGCATCAATCACTTTCCTCTCACTCCGATCAAGAATTGTTCCCTAATTACCGCCAAAGACAACATATGGATCGAAAAGATACTCTCTCCACGACCCCTACGACCAGCAGCATCAGATTCATGAGTCCCAACAACTAGGCTCTTCGGAAATATTTTATACTTACTCAATACAGTCGCAGATGACGCAACACCACACGCAGCGGGAAGCCTTCGTCTCTCTTGTTCACCTCAGGACCTCCCAGATTTCTGCTCAGCACTTGGATTCATCCACTTCAAGCGGTCATAACCTGCAAATTACTGTTCCTCGCAGGTTGTATCAGAATGCGTATCAGCATCCACAGCACAATGATTAACGCAAACAATCCATCATTAAAATTTTCCCTCCTCAGTTTACCTTATTTATTGCAGCTTTGTTTGCAGACGATAGATCGATCTTGACGTGATGGTATTAAACTGGTAGCATGTGAGGAAGAAGTGAATGATAGGACTCTTGTCTTGTTCGTCCTTGCTTCCTACTTCCTCATCTGTCGATAGCTACCTGTGCCCCTGAACCAGTCAGTCTGAACGGTTGGCTGCCAAACCAAACCGCTCGCTGACTACTTGCACGGACTATCTGCAGCTGCCCAAAAATCTCGCAATCTGGCGCTAGTCGTAAACTCATGCGTCCCAAACTCCTATCACTTCCACCCCTCGAAAGGCAACATTTCCTACAGATGGTACTAACAACGCCTGGCTCCCAGCGGGGTGTATAATAAGGTTGAACCTTGAAATGTAGAAAGACGACGGAGGCGGCATCGTACTCACGTTAGAATTCGCTGCCGTCATGCACTAGTCTCGTGATCGTCTCATGACGTTTTTTTAAAGTGGCGCAATCCGCTGAAATTCGGAGCTTTGTCCATTATGTAGTCGGACAAAAACAGAACTATTGTCCGGACAAATGTCAGAAATTTTGTTTGGACAAACGTTTAACGCATTTGAAGTACGGAATAGTAAAATTTGAAGTACGAATTAGACACGCCCCCTCCCGCCTTGATCACACAACGAAATTTTGTGTCGTACCATTTAATAACGACGCTAATATCTACAGTTTTGAGATCGTGTTAAATTACCGAGAATATAACCAAATATTCAGAATACTTCCAGATATCGAGGGAAGTTTACCTGAATCAACTTCACGGTGTCAATTCGCACAGCTTCTCCTGGCTTTTCGGATCGGAAACGTTGGGAAATTATCCCACACCTTTCTTCAAGCACGCCCGTCACATCAAACACTTTCAATCATATATATTGCCTTCTAAATGATCCGTGACATCAATATCTAATGCAAATTTGCAACATGTGGATGCCGTTTGTCATAGACCCACACTCTGTCTTCGAAATGGCCGATGTAAACACCTCGTGCACCCACCAGGGACATGATTGTATTTGATAGGCGTTATGGTGCTTGATCTGTGTTTCGTGGATCCATCCGGCCACTCGCGAAATCCAGATCGAAATCCAATCAGCCAAAATCAGTATGCGTGTCTTGAGATCGCGACACTTATCGTCTTCTCGCTTGAGGTTGCGCTGTGCCTGCGATTATGCTTGCTACAGGTGCCGAAACGTGTCGAGAAAATGAGTAGAAGACAAGCGACACATATCTACAAGTCTTCTACTTTTTTCCACATGTTTCGACACCTGACTACTCTAGAGTGCGCCCCTACACTTTAACGTCGAGCAACGCAGCGCCATTTTGTTGGTCTTGCTTGCAGGACTAGGCACACGAATGGGGGTTGCCAAGCGGCTGGCTGAATGCGTCAACATCACGGCTGCGTTTGCGCTCCTCGCTTTTGTTGCTCGATCATAGCCCAATTCTTGCGCCGTGCGAGAGTGCTGTTCTCCGCTATTACTCAAGAACGAGCTGGAAATTCGTGTTCTTTTCGATCTGTTACCACAACTTTTGCAGCTTAGTAAGGTTTCGGCGTGAAGTTTCCCGGAAGTTTCCACCCTCAAGCATTCGGTTCTGACGTACAGCGCGTGACAGATAGTGTCGAAGATTGTGCGCTCACAGATGGTGTCGAAGAACGTGCGTGGCATTGCAGCGACGACTACCCAGAAACTAAAACGGGCACACGAGGGGAGAGGCAAGACGGCAGAAGGTGAAACAAACAATGGCAGTGAGGCAGCAGGTGAGTTCAATATACATTTTTGGCCCTGTTGTGCCCAATGTGAACATACTAAATAGCTACCAGCTCCCATCGTGCCTCTATTGAATCGTCTTGTTTTGCAGCTATTGAAGCCTAAAATTCCGTATCCGACCAAGCTCCCACTTGTGGACCAGCAAGAATCGTTCGGGGCCAAAAAGTGGGGTAACATCGATGGTCAGGGAGGCAGGCCTGAGTTCGGCAGTTCTACTGGCCCAGAACCTGTTGGAGACTTCGGTGCTGGAAAGCGCGGAGTTGCCAAGAACGTATGGGGCCCTATGGGTTTACCCACGCCCGACAATCTCGCACCTCCTCCACCTGGGCGTGTCATACCTGTGGGCACTGGCCCGCCCGATAGGTAGAACCAACGTGGCCAGGGTATCTACGGGGGCCAAGGTGGCTACGGTACGCAGCCTGCCTATGGCAGCCAGGGGCCGTACGCTCCCCAGTCTTTCCAACAACCAACGCAGCCAGAGTACGCTGGCCCTGGCAACTACGATAGCGACGAGCCCTCGAGTGATGACGAAGCGAATGGCAACTACGATAGCGACGAGCCCTCGAGTGATGACGAAGCGAATGGCACCGTCGACGAGCGGCAGATGTTTGCTTCGGCTATCTTTGGCGGCACTCCCGGTGCACCGGCCCCAATACCTGGGGTTCGACGCGTCGGGCCGAACGCACGCGCCGATTACTGCTACCCGTCGAACAAGTCGTACTTCCACGTGTCGTCATGGAGCCGGAGCGACCAGCAGCAGACTCCTCCAGCACAAGCCTCGATCAGAAAGCTTCGCCTCCGCAACAACATCGCGCGAAGGTCGACATGGATCTGCTCAATGTCTCATTTGGATCTGCTTAATGTCTCATTTGGATCTCATTTGGATCTGCTCAATGTCTCATTTGGAGCAGATCCATGTCGACCTTCGCGCGATGTTGTTGCGGAGGCGAAGCTTGTTTGATCGAGGCTTGGGCTGGAGGAGTCTGCTGCGGTGGTGGTCGCTCCGGCTCCATGCACGACACGTGGAAGTACGACTTGTTCGACGGGTAGCAGTAATCGTGCGCGTGCGTTCGGCCCGACGCGTCGAACCCCAGGTATTGGGGCCGGTGCACCGGGAATGACGCCAAAGATAGCCGAAGCAAACATCTGCCGCTCGTCGACGGTGCCATTCGCATCATCATCGCTTATGGGATCGTAGTTGTCGTAGTTGCTCGGGCTAGCGTACTCTTGCTGCGGTTAGATGTTGGGAAGACTGGGGAGGGTTCTGTCCCTGGCCGCCAATAGCGGCAATAGGTAGATGCATATCATACTAACCTTGAACCCGTAGATGCCCTGATCACCTTGGTCATACGGATTGGGCAGGCCAGTGCCCACAGGTATGTCAGCTCCAGTTGGACCAGGTGCGAGGTTGTCGGGTGTGGGTTTACCCATAGGACCCCACACGTTCTTAACCACTCCGCGCTTTCCCGCATTGAAGCCCGTAATAGGGTCTGGGCCAGTAGACCGCCGAGCTCAAGCGTACCGCTCTGACCACCGATGTTACCCGAATCGTTCACCCCGAACGATCCTTGCTGGTCCACAAGGGGAAGATTAGTCGGACACGGCATTTCAGGCTTCTACAGCTGCGTACATGACGATTCGAAAGAGGCACGATGGGAGCTGGTAGCTAGATGATATGTCAGCATTGGGCACGAAAGGGCCAAAAATGTATATTGAACGCACTTGCTGCCGCACTTGCTGTTATTGCCTGTTTCACTGACTACCATCTCGCTCTCCCTAGCAATCAAGCAGTTTCGTGTCCCATGTTGCAGTTAAGTATAATGTGGGAGACACAATTCAGTGTTTTTCTATACTTGAGCCGAGTATAGAACTGGGTTTGGGACTTTTGTGCATTTGTGGTGGTGGTAATAATGGGATTTGCTCACGAGAAAACCGCAGACAAAAACGAGGGGATGGGGGTCCATTCGTTTATAAAAAGAGCACAGCGCTCGTCTTTGACGGCTCTGGATCCGGATCGAGGCCATCTGGTGGCTCCGCGAGTCGTCACTAGTGGTCATTCCATCATTTGCTCGCCCGCCCCCGAGCAACTCGACATCGATCCTCCCTCCAATGCGTCCTTACTCGCTCAAACTCCTGACCGCTGCTGTAATCGCTCTGTCTACCGTGAGCTCTTCGAAGGAATACGGCTTCAAGATGGCTCAAGTCGACCGCCCGACTGCTGGTCCTTCTCACGCCGATAACCGCACTGCCATTCACGACGATCGGCTGCCACAAGCAAACAGCGCCACGGATAGCGAAGAGCGGGCGCCAGGACCAAGCAAACCCGTCTTTTTGTTTGGAGTGGAGTTGAAGGAGACGACACCGCTGTTTCTAGAGAACGCTCTTACCCGCCAAGTTGAAAGCGCGCAGGCACACATAAGACCAAACCCAGTTGGTGATCGCCCTGTGTCGAGCCTTTCTGAAGCGACGAAAGCGCATGTTGGCACGCATGTTGAGCCGGTACAATTCAGTTTCAAAGGACAAGATGGCATACGCGTCCTGGCGGAACAGAACCCAAAGTTCAGCACAGAGAAGACGACCGAGTTACGGGAGACGTTGGAACCGACTGTCACGGAGTATATGAAGGCAAATAATGTTGTTGGAAAGTTTGAGGAAGTACGAGCGTCTCCTATGATGTTTCACCCTGATACAGTGAAGCTTCTGATGAACGCTGTCGAAAAGTGGAACGCGAAACATCCGGATAGACGTACGTTTTTGCTGGACGCGCTTGTGGTGATGTTTGATGACGTAGCCAATCTCGCGCCTGCTTTGGCGAAGGCAAAGAAGATACGATTCAGCAAAGTTGACGCAACACGGTGGCAGGAAGAGATGCTGACGCATTACATTAATTATAAAGTTAAGCCCAGACGTGTTTTTGACATACTCGAGTTGGGAACGAAAAGCTGGACGCTCGAAAACCTGGACACGTTTGACGTATACCTTTGTCTTTATCAGAAGAAGTTTAACATTAGCTGGAAAAAGAGAAAGACCACGGGTTTGATGGCGTATCTACGCAATGAATTTAGCCTCATCGAGGTCATACGGAGGGTAAAGGCCGGTAGAGAGCATTCACAATACCCCGACGAGATACCGGCACGTCTTGTGGAGTCATTGAAAGGCGACAGTGAGAATTGGATCGACGAGGTTGATGACTTGCTAGGGCTTTCCAACCAAGTGTCGATGGGAAAGTTTTCACCTGCGGCGCGGAATGCAATTCGTGCTTTCGTTAAAGCACACCCTGATTCTCTGCTTGACGCGGATGTGTCCCTAGCCCAAAAGTTGAGTGCTGCAGAAGCGCTCAAAGAACCAGCCCCAAGACGCCAAAGGACTGGATGAGTTTTCGATCAGCGTCAGGTGGCGAACGACAAGATTGACCTCGGGTGGCCTTGACAAGTGGTTGGCAAAGCAATCGGGTAGCGGATGGAGCAGGATGCTGGAGTCGTTGATGCGTGTGAGCTTGGATCAAGCTGTAGCTAACTTTGATTGCCTTCATAAGCCGAAAGGAGATCGATAACATGAAATACAAGCATTTCTACAGTTTGACGTCACTACCGAAAGCATGCGGGGCTCACTTGTGTCAAGACTACGATCGTAGAAAGAAGCTTTGGTAGGCAATCTGCCCTGTGTTCATTTTCACTGGTGGATCGATTCCAGCGTTGCTTTTCTTTGGGGTTGTCACTGATGCACTCTGGTGCAAGTGTGCCTTCCTCCTCTATCAGCAAGTTAGTTTGCAGTCTCAGTCGGATCAGCACGGACATTCGATGGGCGTGCTCTTTAACAAAAGCTCCGCTGTTTGCGACACTGCCATCGAGTATACAACTTGCTGCAACGGCTTGCAATCGCCATGGAGATCGGCATCAGACAAGCAATGGTAAACACCGATTCGATGCGCGCCCTGAGCTGATTGAGCCGTGGCCACCGCCGTACTCGTTCGCAAAGCGTGCGACGCATACAAAGCCACTGATTTTACAAGGCAAAGCGGCGCCTCGCTGGCTAGTGCTGTCTCTGGTGCTTTATATGCGCTGGACGATCGTGACAAGTAGAAAGGGCTCTCGCCTGACTCGCGTGCAGCTGCACTATTGCGATTTATGAGCGAGGGGTCAGCCAGGGTACAAGTTGTTTCTATAATCGGGCTTGGGATACTTCTCCGGCTGGCTTCGTATCAGCAGCACGATGGTTTCCTTCCTGCTAACACATCGGCTCGGGGCTGAGAATCTTAGCCGCGCTCGCACACGATTGGCACGCACGATTTGCTTCTGACTGACAAGGCCTTCGGCATGTTGATGCAGGCTTGAAGTAGCAAGCAAGACGATATTGCGAACAGCACACACGACACTGTAAACGCACAGATAGCGCCGTCACGTGACGCCCGCGCCAAACGGTTTTACATCCGCTTCTAGCCGGTCGGGTGTTTTATTGTACTCCGATTGAGCTAACAAACTCAATCTTGTTTCTCCTCTTAGTTCATGCTGACGACATACTTCAGTCAATCTTGCTCACACAATGCACCGTTTGCACTCCAGCGAGAGCTTCGATCGCCATGACCACAGAACCTTCAACGTCACTATCAGGCGCGTCTGCTAGAGCGCCCTGTGGGTCCAGCTCAAATGCCAGAATTGTCACTCCCTCATTTTCCATGTGCAGTCCACACTTCTTGATCTCCACCTTTCCATTGTGCACTCCAGCAATCACGTCGCAAACTTGCTTCAATAAATTATGGTTCGGCACGCGTCGATCGCCGCCATTCTCACCGTCGCAATGCCCCGTTGCAGCTTCCACGTTCAGCGAAAACGTGGTCGGAACGACCGTCTTGCTGACGCTAGCCATGACGTGATCATCCCCCAACACGAAAGGGTATGCACCAGTCGCGGCTCTGATCATGTCCAGGTTGCGCGGCGAGCGTACAACATCCATCGTTTTCTGGGCAAGACTCGTTTCGTACATCATTTGCCCCCACTGAACGACTGCATCAGCTGTTGGCCGTGCGCTTGGATCATGACTCAACAACTTGCTGAGCATGTCGATAATTTCAGGACATCTCTTTGCCGCACGGAGGTCAGCAGGGAATTTGCTGTCTCGAGCATCACGAAGAGTGATGTATCGCTCCATTGTCGTGCCAAATCGCTCGTGACACAGCTCGAAGAGGATCATCCCTAACGAGTAAATGTCCGTCTTAGCGCTGTACTTCTTCCCTGCGACTTGTTCCGGGCTTGCGTAAAGATACGTGCCGACACCCGCAGTCACTTCGTTGCTCTCGGACGTGTTCGACCACATCGATGCAGACAAAGCAGTGTCCCGCAGACCATGAGAAGGATGCCCTTGTTGAGAATCGTCGAGACTTGGTGCAGCATTCAGACTGCTCACATTCGCAGCGTAGCGCGATAAGCCGAAATCCCCCAGCTTGATCTCATCCCTTTCCACATCAGCAACAAAGATATTTGCTGGCTTTAGATCGCGATGAATTAGTCCACACGAATGTACGTGCGCAAGCGCACTCGCAATCTGCACAAAGATCTTCAACATTCTCGACAATTCCATCGGCCGGCCAGGAACAGCCAGGTAGTCTGCCAAATTACGACCAGCACAGTACTGCATCTGAATGTACAGCCAGTGATCACATGTCTCTACAGCGTTGAGCGAAGAGTCCTCCCCACTACCACAGGCAGCTGGCGAGCAAGACGGAGATGCACGAGGAGGTACGTTGCTCGTGTGTGGCTTATTTTGCACAATCAAATCCTCTTCCTTCCATCCATCATCGTCTTCAATGCCAGAAACCCCACGTTCCCAGACAAAGCCACCATCATCGGCATTGTCACTCATTGCGCTCCGATTGCTGTAGACGCCCTCGAGCTGGCGTCGGTCTCCTGAAAACTCGAACTCGGAAATCGGCGCGAGGAGATTGTTCGTCGAGTAGTTGGCCGCAGCGGCGTGACCACCAACTGAGCTCGTGTCTGAAGCAACAGAAGATACTGCCAACGTTCCCTCTGTGCTCTCCTCAACCTTTTCCAGCCACGCCTGATAGTACCGCACAATGTTGGTGTGGTCTAGTAGTGCTAAGATTTTTACCTCGCGCAGAAACTTCTGCAAAGTCTTGGATGTTTGATTCTTCAGGTTCAAGCCAACGCGCTTTATCGCATACTTGCGTCCGTCCAAGCGATTCTCAGCGAGTGTAACTTGACCAAAGCCACCTTTACCGATTGCTGAAAGCTCTTCGAATTCGTTCACGAAGCGGCTTTGACACACGAACGGGAAGAAAACCTCTGCCTCATCCGAAGGGATCTCAGGTTCACTCGAGGATGATTGCAACGAGCCATAAGTACTAGACTTGCCGTCGCTCGTTTTTTCATCCAGTCCACCTTCACCGCCCGGTGTAGTTCGCACATCATCGCCATCGTTCGACTGGTGGCTGCTGTTACTATCGCTATTACTGCTGCAGCTTCCCGTTGTCAACTTTCCGGATGAGCTTACCGACCTTGGACTGTTCGCAAATATTCCAGAGTCGTCATCGGCAAATAACAAACCATTCTTCAGATTTGTTGACTTGAAGCACTCGTCGCTTCGTACGCGATCGATGGCTAGGAATGCGACGTCTTCATCTGCAGATGGCAACCTTTTGCAAATGCCTACTTCATCTTCATCTTCTTTCAACACGCTATCCTCTTCAGCGTACGAGAGTGATATTACGCTGACGGTGGATGTAAGTCTCTGCCTGTACACCTGACCGGCAAGCGATGGCATTGTTATGTCACCAATGCTCGAATTGGTCAAAATTGACGCAGAGCACGCTGGTGCGTCTGTACTCGCACTGCAGTCTACGAACAAATCGTCCGTCAGCAGTTTTTGCGTTCCATTGACGTGTCTACCGTCGAGAAGAATTGCTGCAGATTCATTAGCAGCAAGGCGCGAAAACCTTTCCATAAGAGCAGCTTCCGTTGCCACACCACTACTGTCGCTTACTCTCGATCTAGCAGCATTACCACTCTCCAACAGAGGCACCCGATCATTCACGCCCAAGGCGTTCATCACTAGTGAGCGGCTGATCATGCTTGAAATGCTTATGTCCGCCTCCCCCCGGCGATGTATGACGAGTCGATGAACATGTGACGTAAAAAACTGACTCTGGTCCAAGGTCTTGATAGCCGACTGCGCTAGAGAAGCTGATAGTCCCTTGAAATAACATCCCCATGCGAGCAGGATGCCGCACGTAGCCACACCCAATAGCATGACTACTGCGTGCGTGTACGTGATAAACACACCTTGCTTACCTCCATTGACGATCGGCTCCCATAAAAGTCGTCGACTGCCGGGTGGCTCTATCTCCTCATGATAGTTGTACTCATCACCCATTCGTTGGCGGTGGAACGTGGGCGAACCGATGCCACGGCTAGTGGCTACACCATCACTCTCGCTCGCTTGAAAAAAGTAATCATTTCCCATCATACGCAGCCTAAATCGTGATGTCATTGCATCCCATGTGCGTGGAAGCACTCGCACCAACTGCTGATTCATCAAAGAATCTGGCACCTTTTGTTTCTGCTCCATGGTACTTTTTGGTTGATCAACAGCGATCGAGTGCCGACGGCGGTGCCAATCTTTCGCCGTTACTCGCGCGGGAGTGCGGACACGTCTAGATGACGATGGGCCGTCCACCTTCCAGTTGTAAAACGTAGCTCCCCACATCGTAGATACTCCATACACGGCTAGAACATCAAAGTCAGGAATTTCGAATTCCCATAGCTGCTTCTTTGTCCAGGGATCAAACGCGACAATAGCGCTAGAACTCGTACCCTCTAATGCTGCGTCATAGTTCTTCGGCACCACAAGAATTTCTGGCACCATCGTGTGGTCATCGTCTCCGGCCGGACAATGCGCGCGCTGTGTAAAGTCCAGGAAGAATTCTGAAACTCGAAAGCACCGAGCAGCTGAAGCGTTGCGAGAATGAACAGCACGAGTTGTGAACTCCGAGCGGCCAAATAAAACATCAGTAGACATCGCCGTAGATGCTGGAGACGACAAATGGGCGCGACGAAAACCGCTGACTGCATTTAATGTAAACAGGTCCAGCGTCTTCTCGCCAAAGATCAAAATGTCGGCTGCCGGAACGTCCACAGCAGGCTCATCATCAGTCACAGTAGCTTCTAC